AAAAAAAAAAAAAAAAAAAAAAAAAAAAAAAAAAAAAAATTCTATTTGTTTTCTCTGTCACATTCCTTTGTCTCTGCTGATATTTACTATCTGTAGAGGTGTTCATGCCTTACTCTCTTCCTGAACCTCATTTCTCTCTCGAGCTCCCAGGATGTCCATTAATTTTTTTTTTCCTAGCCAGATAGATAGCCGAGTGTCTAGCAAGACTTTTAGTCACCTATGCTTTTCTACTCTGCTAATGGGAAAAAAAAAAAAAAAAAAAATTCCCAGAGAAAAAAATAATGAAGAATTTTTTTTCATGTTTTTATTCATCTCATTATTTTTCATTGAGGTGGTATCTCAATGTAGTTTTATGGCATCTGTTGTCTCCAGATTTTTTAATGATCGCCATTCTAACTGGTGTGAGATGGTATCTCAATGTAGTTTTATACAGTATCTCAATGTCACTTAATGACAGTTGCTTTTTCAAATTTTAACTTCTCTGAAAAAATGTAATTTCTTTATTTTCAGAGTTTTCAATTAGGGTATTTTTAACTTACTTTTCTTACTCTAAAAAATGTATCCAAAGTTTATAGTTGCAATGAGTAGGATGGATGGACTCTAAGGAGCTTTCACTGCCAAAGAGTAACCAGAATTTCAGGGCTATATTGTTGCTTTTGTTTTTATTTTTTGAGATTAACTTTAAAATAAATTTGTTAAGTCTTCTGTCTGATATTCCACTTACTATAAATTAGAATTTTATCCAAACAATAAATTTATTTTTAATAGGTTCAGAATATTTATATTAGTATTTATATAAAGAAAACATATAGATTTTATTTAGTCTTCTTGTCCTATTAGACACTTATATAAATATATAATTAAAATAAAGTTCTTTAATTATATTCCATTTGATCACACAATTGTCTTACAGAATTTTCTTCCTTCCCTTTTTTTGTTGTAATTATGAAACAGCTTGTTATCTATCATTTACTCTCTAAGTACTTTGCTGGTATAAGGAAAAGTTATAAACTTCATATAAATACTTCTATTTAGTGGTTTCTTAAATTTTATTTTTTCTCAGGCATAGAATTATATCATTTAAATTATTTTGTATCAAGCTTGTTAATCTTTTACAACTTAGTTGCTTTTATTTTATTTCATATAATTTCATGATCAAGTTAATAAAAATGAGACATTTTATACAATTTTATTTTATCTTTAAATATTATACAGGGCTTTGTATCATCTGTTGAAATAATCAATTACCTTGTCTTAAGAGTTTTTGGAAGTAATATTCGTATAATAGATTTCTCCTCACTGATGCACTGTCTCACATGAAAAGAGAATGCTCTATCTCTATTACAGATGCTTACTCTATGTAACACTTTATTATCTATCCACTCCTAGTTTCATTCTATTCACGATGTGTAGACGAGTTAATGTTAACGGCTAAGTTGAGGAAGAAGAATTCTTTACAAAGAATACAACTCTCTGTTTCCTTTTTCTTAGGAACTAAGAGATTCTCGAAGGCCATATGCACTGCTGTTTCCTCTGGCCCATAGTAAAACAGTTTGTTCCTAAGGAAGAATCTCTTTAGACAGAACATCCTTGAACAATTCTGGAATCTAGTATTATAAGCTCCTTTCCCACAAGAAAGCACTAATCAGGTAGAATCTGGTTTAACTTTAACGGTTTCTTATCCAGTTTCTCATTTGATTAAGAACTTGAGCATACAAGAATGGTGTTATTTATCAGCCCCCTTGGTACACCAGCATTTTATTGCTCTTAATTTAATTGGGTATACTATCAATCATATGAATTCTACTTAATCATGTATGTACTATTCTAATATTTGTTAGTAATTGTCAACAAAATTTTATTGTTGTGTTTTCTTAGAATCAAAATAGAAATTTTTTGTTACTTTAAATTTTGAAGCATTTTTATTGCCTTTGTTGGTTATTCTTTGAATATTTTCAAATGTAATTGAGTGATTATGTTTTCTTAACTTTGAATCAAATCAGATTTTTTATTAATAACAATGTAAATTTCACAGTTGGCCAATGGTATAATTTTCTATTTTACACATCACATGTGAGTGTGGAAGCCACCTTCTAATTACTGGTTTCTTAAACTTTATTTTTTTCTCAGCCATAGAATTATGTCGTTTAAATTATTTTGTATCAGACTTTCCAATCTTTTATGACTTAGTAGCTTTTATTTTATTTCATATAAATAAAGCTACCTTTCACACTCACATGGGTTGTGTAAAACAGAAAACTATAACATGTGCCCACTGTGAAAATATACTAGAATAATACATTCAATCTTGTCTGACAAAGAAATTTTAATTAGTATTATAAATATTTGCTATCATGGTGGCTACAGTTTTTTATTTTTGACTCATTACTAACACAAGTATGTTTCACGTGTTAAAATCTGAGTCAATTTGAAAATCACATTAGTTAGAACTTTCATTGATAATAAATGCTATTTTGGTTTGGCATTTTTTCACTCTTTCAAATTAAGGCAATGAAAACTAAAAATCAAAGCATATGATGTGCTGAAATGTCTCCAAAGTATGCATAGTGATTTAAAATCATTGAAAAGCTTTACATTTTATGGGTACTCTACTGTGGAATTTAGAGCACTTCGATAATTTTAAATTACTCTTCGCTACACAAAGCAATTTAAATTTATTGGAAACGAAATCTGGAAGAGTTCAAATTCTGGGCAATGTTGTACATATTGCTTGAAAATTACTAAAAGCACTTAAGTGTTTTTTATATGCACTTCATTTAAAGGTGATCCAAGCTTTTTAGTGTGGAATGATATAGAAACATTTGGAAGTGCTAGAATCACTCCAGCTTCAATTCTAATTCAGAAAATTTAAGTTTTTTGATAAGTAGATTTATCTGATATTATTTAACTCTTCAAATATTCATAACATGATCTTTAAAATATAGAAATATATTTAACAACATTTTTGTAATGGTCTTATTTTCCAGTCTTTTTACAGTTCATTTCAGGGAAATCAGTGAAGTTCCACTGATTATAATTTGGAAAGTTCTGACCTAAGTTCAGATGAATTCCGATTCTATTAAAATGGTAGCATCAATGGTTTCATTATATCTATTATATACAATATCATTATATGCTACTACAAGAAAGTACATTATTATGGAAACAATCCAATCTCAATACAATATGCATCCATTATAATTAAATCCATTGTTTTACTAAGTTAAATAAAAATCTTCAAACATATACAAAATATTTTGCAAATCTGAATGTGTCTTACATTAAGAATTAGCAGCCTCATACATGAATAGAATTTTCAGTGAGAGATACGTCTTCAGATGATGTTTGAAAAAGGGAATATTAAAGGCATTCTGTCTCATGCCTTACAATATATTTAGCACGGGTTTCTCTCCCTGATATAGCTTCAAGTTTATGTACAAAACAACATGCTGAGAAACAGCAGTAACTAATCCATGGTTTTGTCTGCACATTATAAGAAGTGTCATTTAAAAATAGATCTACCTGTGCACAATATTCTCTTGAACCTTAAAGAATGGAGAATTTTCTCATTTTACCTTAGTAAAGAAGTAAGCCCTTAAGCATTTTGTCAGCATTTCAGGAGTGATGAATAAGCTGGCTTGAAGTACTTCATGCATACATTTTAATGATTAGAAGGGACTATAATTCTCTCTAGCCTACCTACAATTCTGTAGGAACTTAACTCCTGAAACTGAATCTGCATTATCTAGTAGGCATCTTTATAAATGAATTTAGAAATGTTGCACACAGTATTTGCCTCCAGTGACACTCATTCTAATTAAATTGTAAATAAAGCAGTGTGGGTATAAACCAACCTAAAACTTTCTTCACTAATGAAAGGCAGAGAAAATCCTTAAATAGATCCCTTTTC